GCGATGCTGATGAAGAACCTCTACTCCAAGAACCCCAACTACATCAGGTACCGGCCCCGATGGGGACCCCCGGCCGCGGCTCCCGTGCCGGTGGGACCCCCCGACCCACCACCGCACTCCCCAGGTGCATCAAGCCCAACGACACCAAGTCAGCGATGGTGTTCATGCCGGAGCTGGTGCGGGCGCAGGTCCGGTACCTGGGGCTGCTGGAGAACGTGCGGGTGCGGCGGGCGGGCTACGCCTTCCGCCAGCTCTACGGCCCCTTCCTGCAGCGCTACAAGATGCTCAGCGCCCGCACGTGGCCCCGCTGGGCCGGCAGCGACAGGTAATGGGGCCGGGCCGGGCTGCGGGGCCGGGGGGCTGCCGGGGGGGCTCTGACCGGCCTCGTCTGTGCCGTGATGCAGGGAGGGGGCCGAGGCGCTGCTGGCAGACCTGGCGTACCCCAAGGAGGAGCTGGCTTTTGGCCACACCAAGATCTTCATCCGCTCGCCACGGACAGTGAGTCTGGGAATGGGGGAGTCCGGGGGGATCCAAGCTTGTCCTGGGGGCTCCTGGACGATGCCGCAGCCCCCAGCAGTGGTTCGGGGGGGGTCCCTGTCCCCGCTCGGTGCCCCGGCGCTCACCGTGGTTGTTCCCAGCTCTTTGACCTGGAGCGGCGGCGCCAGGAGCGCGTGGCCCAGCTCGTCACCCTCATCCAGAAGATGGTCCGGGGCTGGCGGTGCCGGACCCAGTACCAGCTGATGCGCAAGAGCCAGATCCTCATCTCTGCCTGGTTCCGGGGCCACGCGGTGAGGAAGGGCAGTCCTGGCCACGTGTCCCCTGCCCGTCCCTCGTCCCCTGGCTGTCCCAAGCCGCCCCAGCTCATCCCCCCTCTCCCCCTGCAGCAAAAGAACCGGTACAAGCAGACGAAGCGGTCGGCACTGATCCTCCAGGCGTACGTGCGGGGCTGGAAGGTGAGGGCTGGGCATCTCGGGGCTGGCAGGTCTGCTGGGGTGGGCAGGAGGGTGGGGGGCACAGGATGGGGAGGAACGGGGCTCCTTGTGCCCCATGGTGGGACCGGGGGCTCTGTGTGTCCCATGGTGGGATCAGATCCATCCTCATCTCCTCTCCCCGTCTTCCATCCTTCTCTCCTGCCTCTCTCCTGCCTCTCCCTCTCGCTCCATATCTGTGTTGGTGTCTCTCCCTTGGGCCCCCTGGGCTCTCCCCCCCCCGCAGTCTCGCCGGCTCCTCCGGGAGCTGAAGCTCCAGAGCCGACGCCGCGCGGCCGCCACGACCATCGCTGCTCACTGGAGAGGGTACCAGGTAACGGGGCCAGCCCTCCCACTGCCTCTGTCCTGCTGTCCGGGCTGTCTGTCTGTCTGCCCACCCTGTCGGGCTGGAGCCATTGTCCTCTCTGCTGGGGCCAAATGGGGGCAGGGGGATGGGGGGAAAGGGGGATGGGGGGTGGGGAGGGTGGGGAGGGCGGGACAGCCGTGTCCTTGGGGGGCTGGCAGTGGGATGGTGGCGATGTCCAGCGTCCCCACCCTCACCGGCTCCGTCCCCGCAGGCGCGCAGGACCTACAGGAGGTATTTCCGCAGCAGCGCCAGCACCTTCCTGGCCAACTTCATCTACCGGCGCCTGGTGAGCGGGGCCGGGGGGAGAGGGGACCTTCCCAGCACCCCACCCTGGGGCTGGACCCTCCGGTCCCCTCCTGACCCCCCGCTGCACTGTCACCCCCAGGTGTGCAGGTACCTGGTGGGGCTGGCGAAGAACCTCCCGCCGCTGTCGGTGCTGGACCGGACCTGGCCCCCGGCGCCGTACAAGTTCCTGGGTGATGCCAACCAGGAGCTGAAGAGCATCTTCTACCACTGGAAGGTGGGAGCAGGGGGAGATGGGGGGAATGCCCGTTGGCATGTTGTGTCCCTCCGTGCCAGCCCACCCGAGGGGTGGCACTGAATCGCCCCCTCCCTCGGCAGTGCAAGAAGTACCGGGACCAGCTGCCGCCGTCGCGCCGGGCCCAGCTGCAGGCCAAGCTCTGCGCCAGCGAGCTCTTCAAGGACAAGAAGACCCTCTACTCCAAAAGGTGCCAGGGTTGGGGGCTGTGGGGAGGAGGGGGCTCAGGACAGCGGGGGCTGACGGGCTCATCCCCAGCGTGCAGCAGCCCTTCCGCAGCGATTACCTGGGGCTGAAGCAGAACCCCAAGTACCAGAAGCTCCACGCCGTGGCCAAGGACAAGGTGGTGATGGCCGACACCGTGAGGAAGGTGAACAGAGCCAGCGGCAAGGTGAGTCCCCACCTCGTCCCTGTCCCCACTGGAGGGTGTACAGGACCACACTGACCCCCTGCCCGTGCCGACCCTGCCCACAGACGGTCCCGCGCCTGCTGCTCCTCACAACCGAGCACCTGGTCCTGGCTGACCCCAAGACCGCCCAGCCCAAGACCGTGCTCGGCCTCGGTGACATCCGCAGTGTCTCCGTCACCCGCTTCTCCGACGGCTTCCTGGTCTTACACCTCAAGGAGGTACCTGGGGAGGGGGGTCCCTGGGGGCTCAGGGGTCCCCAGCAGGGCTGACCCCCCACTCACCCCACAGGTCTCCACGGTGGGGGCCAAGGGCGACTTCCTGCTGGTCAGTGACCACCTCATCGAGCTGGTCGCCCGCCTGCACCAGACCCTGGAGGCCACGACGGGGCAGGCACTGACCCTGCACATCACGGACAAGTATGGGTGGGGCTGTGATGGGCGGGGCTGGAGTGGGTGTGGTTGTCAGGGGTGGGGCCTGAAGGGCAGAGCTACGAGGGGCTGCTGTGGACAGGACTAATGTGGACGGGGCAGGGCTGTAGTGGGAGGGGCCCAGAGGGCGGGGCTGGTGTGGGTGTGGCCACTGCAGGTGGGGCTGGGTGTGGTTGTCAGCACCAGGCAGCCCCTGAGAGGTAGGGACTGCAGGGCCCGGCGTGTCCCCACCCCACCTCTCCATCCTGCCCCCTCCCCTCCATCCTGCCCCTCTTTCCAGGTTCTCCACTCGCTTCCCGAAGGGTGACGTGTCTGTCACCGTGGTGGAGTCACCCAAGGCCGGCCCCGACGGCCCCATCTGCAAGAAGAAGGGCAGCCACAAGATGGAGGTCCTGGTGCACTGAGGGGACCCCCACTCATGCACCGGCACCCCCAACCCCCCTGTTTCATCCCCCTGCCCCGCCGGGTGCTGGCAGTGCCCAGGAATCGCTCCAAATCCATTAAACGGATGCTGAGGTGTCGGTACCGGGGTGGTGTCACAGGGGGTGACCCTGTTCCAGGTGGGGTGGGGGGATCCCATCGTGCCAGAGCCCCAGGACACGGTGCCACGATGCTGGAGCTGGGGGGCAGAGCCCAGCACAGCCTTTCCTGCTGCCTGAATGTGGCCGGTGCTCGGCTCCTGGTGATTGGAAAGGCCCCAAACTGTGGCCACTTTTCCCATTAAGTGGCTCCTGGCTCGTGCTGCTGCAGAGGCAATTTCTGGGCAGCCATGGGCAGCTGCATGTGAGGTCCCTGGTACCCACTCCCTGCACTGGCACCCCCTCCCTGCGCTGGCCAGCCCTGTCCCCCCCTGCCCAGGGTCCCTCACCCCACTGCAGGACCCCCCATGCAGGTTGCTCCCGACATGGGCTGGCACTGGAGCTGCATTTGGGAACTGGTTGCATGGACAGGGGACAGAGGGGAGTCACCACACAGCCCCAGTGACACCACTCTAGCCCCCAGGGACCTGCGGGACGCCCCCCTGGAGCCCACAGCTCCCGTGCCAGGGTGTCCCCCCCTTGCCTTTTCTCTCCTGCACTGATCAAGCTCTCGGAGAGGGTTTTTTTTCCGTCCCCACACATCACCCGCGTTACCTTCGGGAGCTGCCAACTCCCCGTCACGTCACCATCAGCACCAGCTCCCAGGTGGGCCCTGGAACACGGTTTGTCGTGCAGGGGGAGCGTGTGCGGGCAGCTCCTGCACGTGGGGGGGGCACGTGTGCGTGCGTGGGGCCCCCGATGGCCCGGCCGTGCCCCAGTGCCGAGGGCTCCCCGCTTCCCCCGCGGGCTCCGTCCCCGCACAGGGACCTTCCCTCGGCGAGGGGCGAGAGCCGTAAACAAGCCCGGGGCACCGCGGCTCTTCACGGCTGCCTCGCACTTGGCATCGCACAAGTAGGTGTTATTAATTAATTAGTCCATCTCTGGCCAGGCTCCGATTTAATTAACGTTCCCGGCACTGCAGATGCTGCCCTGCCCCGGGCTGTGCTGCCACGTGAGCTGCTGCTGCCTTCCCGGGGGGCTCCCGCAGCCACCGGAGCAGCCGCAGCCACCTGTTGCTCGGGATGAAGTCGGTGGCTCTCACTTGTTGGCCCAGTTGTTCCCCCTTTCCTCGCACCCCTCTGCTTCCCCCCCGGAATTTCCCTCCCCATCTTCCACCTTGGCACATCCTGGCACGGGAGCGGGCAGGCCAGGAGCACCGGAGTGGGGCTGGGGGAGACGGGCAGGGTGTGTGTGGGGGGGCACACCTGTGTTTGTGTGTGTGTGTGTGTGGGCACACGTGTGTTCGTGTGCGCAGATGAACACGCGTGTGCATCCCATGTGCGTGGTGGGAGCGTGACCGATCCCCCCTGAGCTGCGAGAACCCCAAATCCCGGCTGCAGAGTCCGGCATCCAGCCAGGACCATCCCACCGTGTGTGCTCCCAACAGACACGTCGTGACAGGGGCACATCCCTGTGACAAGGGGCAGGGGGCCGCGTGGGCACAGTGCCCGTGTGCTGACCCCCCAGCCCGGGTGCCGCGGGGGGCCGGTGTGGCTGCGTGGGCACACGCGTGTCGCAGCGTGACTCCGCATGTGCGACGGGTGCTGTCGGTGTCACGGTGCCTGTGTGGGCGTGAAGCTGCAGGGTGGGGGTACCACCCCCCCCGGCCCCCATTGGCAGCTCTCCTCTCGCCCACCCCCGCCGTGCCATGGGCAGAGCCCCTTATTTAGCGCCGTGCAGCAGCTGGTGCCACCGTACTTCGCCTCCCGGCTGAGCCCGTGCTGGGGGAGCCACCGGAGCTGCCCGCCATCACCACCACCACCACTGCCCACCACCACCACCACCGCTGCCCACCACCGCTGCCCACCGCTCCTCGAGGCGTCCCTGCTCTGCAGCCACCAGTGACGAGGGTCCCTCGGCCCCTGGCCCCGCACCAGGCAGCACCGGAGGGCTCGGCAGGTCTGTGTCCCCGTGGCCTGCAAGCCCCGGGGCTTTCCCAGGGTCCGTGGGGGCTGCTGAGCCCTGTCCCTGTCCCGCTGGGGCTGAGGGAAGGCAGAGGGAAGAGGGGGAGGTTCGGGATGGCACTCGGGAGGGCACGGGAGGGAGGAGAGAGGGGGTGAAGGTGTACCTTGAATTCGGGGAGGGTTTCGGGGGGCTCGGGAAGCAAGTCTGGCTGTGGGCAAGCACGTATGTGCCAGGGGACACCTGTGTGCTGACGGGTGAACGTGCAGGACAGAGCCCGAGCCGTGCCCGTGCCCGCTGTGCCCACATTCGTGCGTGTTTGCACAGTCTGAGCAATGTGTGACAGCACAAACGTGGCACGAGCAGGGACACGAGACCCCCGGGGCCACAGCAGGGCCGTGTCCCCCTGCACACCCCGGAACAGCCCCCCCCCCCCCCCCCTCTGTACGCCCCCCCCGGGGTGCAGCCCCCTCCCCGGGACACCGGCACGGCCCCTCCCTCGCGGACCCGAGTGGGGGTCCCCTCGCCCCCCGTGCCCCCGTCTCCCGTCTCGCTGCTTTCCCTCCCCAGAGCCCGGTCCGGTCCCGGGCTCGTCCCGGGCCGCCCCGTCGAGGGGGCACCGGCTCGGGGCGGCCCCGGGCCCCGCCGCTGACCGCGCCCCCAGACCCCCTCCGAGGATGAGGAGCCGCCCGGTGCTGGCGGTGCTGCTGGTCCTGGCGCTGCCGCTCGCCCTCACCCGCCGCCCCCCCGCCGCCGCCCCGCAGGACCCCGCGCCCCCCGCCCAGGTACGGCCGTCGTGAGGGGGCGCGGCGGGCGGAGCCCGGACTCCCAGGAGCCCCTCGGATCCCTTCCCACCGCGCTCGCCCTGTTCGCTCCCGCAGGGGATGCCCGTCCCGGAGCCGCTGCGCTGGAGCGCCCGCGGCAGCCCCGGGGCCGCCGCCGCTGCCGCCGCCGCGCTGGAGCTGCTGCGGGAGCAGGGCGCCGGTGAGGGGCTGGGGGGGGCTCGGGGTGGGGGGCTCTCGGTCCGCCCGGGCCCCTCTCACCCGCTTCGGTCTCTTCCAGGTCCCCCCGCGGCGCAGCAGAAGCGTAAGTCCCGCCCGGTGCCGGTGACGGTGCCGGTGCCGCCGCCGGGGCCGCTGACGGCCGCTCTCTCCGCAGGGGACATGCACGATTTCTTCGTGGGGCTCATGGGGAAGCGGGCGGCGGAGCCCGGGCGAGCGGCGGGGCGGGGGGAGGGCGACCCGGCCCCCCGCTGCTCCCCGGGGACCCCCGCGCCCGGCCAGGCCCCGCTGCGAGCCCTTTGAGCCGCGGGACGAGCCCCCCACGCCCGGGGGGCCGCGGGACCGGCTGCGGGGGCGTCCCGGGCGCCGCCGCCCGCGGAGCCGTCGTGGGACCCCGCCGGGAGCGCGACCGTCCCGCCCCGCGCGCGTGTCCGCGCGTCCATCGCCGCGCGTGTCCGCGCACCCGTGTACACCCGCATCGCCCCGCTAAACACCCACCCGTGACTGCGCGGGACACGCGCAAACACCGTCTCTGTGTCTTGGCTGCGCCGCCGGCACCGGGCTGGGGCAGCCCACGGGGATGAGGCTGCGGGGACGGATCCACGGGGATGGGGCTGCAGGAACGGATCCACGGGGATGGGGCTGCGAGAAAGAGCCCACGGGGATGGGGCTGCGAGAAAGAGCCCACGGGGATGGGGCTGCGGGAAAGAGCCCACGAGGATGGGGCTGCAGGAACAGATCCACGAGGATGGGGCTGCGGGGACGTGTCCGTGGGGACGGCGGGGCTGGGTCCTTGTGCTCCTGGGCTACAGCGACCTGTGCCTGCCCCACAGTGCCCCGTGTCCGTGTCCCCGTGTCCGTGTCCGTGTCCCCGTGTCCCGTCCCCGCCCGGTGCCCGCGCTGGGTCCTCCCCGCCGCGCGGGGGCGCTGCGGGCGGCGGGTCCCGGAAGTCGGCGCGGGCCGGGGCGGGCGCGGGGCGGGTCGGCGCCTTTGTGTGAGCCGGGCCGGGATGGTGCGGGGCGCCGGGCGGGTAAGGACCGACCCCCGCCCGCGGCCCCCGGACCCCGCAGCCCTCCCCGCGCCGCGGACCCCGCACCGACCCCTCGCGGGCCCCCCCGGGGCCTCCCGTCGCCCCTCGTGGCTCCCCCCGGGGGCCCTTTCTGCTGCCCCCCCCCCCCCGTGGCCCCGCGTTCCCCCCTCCCCTTGGTCCCCCCGGGGGTCCCCGCTCTCCTTCCTCCCTTTCCTCCCGGGGCAGCTTCGCGATTCCCCAGCCCCCCCCTGCCCCCCCGGCCCCCCCCGGCCCCCCCTGTCCGCTGCCCCCGCGCCCCCATCCCTTCTCCCGCTCTTTTCCCCCCGCCCCATCCCCTCCACAGGGATTCCCACGCCGCAGGAATTGCGGCTGGTGAGCGTTTGCCTTCCCCGGCCATCCTCCTCCTCTTCCTCGCCCTCCCCAGCTGCCGGGGGTTTTCCCCGGGGGAGGACGGTCCATCCTCAGCCCCTTTGACCTTTCCCTGGCTCTGGGGCAGGAGCAGCCCCGTCCCCTCCCGCCCCCTCCAAACTCCCGCTCTCTGCTGCCTTCCACGCTCCCTGTTCCCCGTCCCGGGAAGGAGGAGGCTGGGAATTAGGGGTAGAGCTCTCTGGGTAAGTTTCTGGGGTCTCAAAAGCTGCTGGAGCATCCGTGAGCAGGACAGGGTAGCAAAGGCAGAGGGATGAGCTGGAGGGACACGCTCAGGCCGGTGCCTGGGGCAGGTGTGGTGGCAGCCAGGGAATCTGCACTGAGAGGTGCCACAGCAGAGGAGAAATCCCAGGAGAGCCCACGAGGCTGGAACACAGAGGACCCGAGATGAGATCCCACCTGAGAACTGAGAGTCTCTGTGTGGGTACAGGTGGGATCTGAAGTGCAGGGATGAAGTGGTGGCTGGAGGAGATCCAGATGGGAATCTGACCACTGTGTGGAGCCTGAGTGTCATCCCTCTGGAGAGGAGCCTTGTCCCTGGCTCGGGAAGAGGGGGGATGGCTGGAACAGGCTCCAGTTGGGTCTCTGAGTCAACAGATGTCTGTCCGTGCCTGAAGAGCAGCAGGACCTTCAGCTGCCTCTGGCAGAGTCAGTGGCTTTTTGTTTTGAGTTTGTCCCTTTGTGCATCCGCCCCTTCACTTCTTAAAAAGTCTGTCTGTGAGGTGACAAGGCAGGTTCAGTCCCTTTCCAGCTGAGCAGCTGCTCTGTGGCTCGTCCAGAAGGTGTAAAATGGGAGGCATGACGAGAATGGTGTTACTTTGGTTGTTTAAGTGTTTAAATGCATTTTTCTGCATTTCCCCTCTGCAGAGCCCCTTGCCCTGCCACTCCTGGCTGCCCAACGCCTCCCGCCGCTGATGAGGGTGTAAAGGCCAAGCTGACCTGGAGGAGGGACTCTCAAGCAGCTGCTAAGATGGGCATGAGGATCAAGCTGCACAGCACCAACCACCCCAACAACCTGCTGAAGGAACTCAACAAGTGCCGGCTCTCCGAGACCATGTGCGACGTCACCATCCTGGTGGGCTCCCGCTCCTTCGCCGCGCACAAGGCCGTGCTGGCCTGCGCCGCCGGGTACTTCCAGAACCTCTTCCTGAACACGGGGCTGGACGCTGCCAGGACCTACGTGGTGGACTTCATCACGCCGGCCAACTTTGAGAAGATCCTGAGCTTCGTGTACACCTCGGAGCTCTTCACAGACCTCATCAACGTGGGCGTCATCTACGAGGTGGCGGAGCGGCTGGGCATGGAGGACCTGCTGCAGGCCTGCCACTCCACCTTCCCCGACCTGGAGAGCTCGGCCATCACCAAGCAGCCCTCCCTGTCCGTGGGGGAAGGCCGGGCAGGGCCGCTGAGCAGCACCTCCTCGGAGCAGAGCCACTCCTTGGGTGACATGCGGAGCAGCACCGAGCACTTCGGCCCCGAGCGGAATTACATCCTGCACGGGGACGTGTCGGGCGGCTACAAGGAGGACGACAGGAATCCCGTGGGTGAAGCCAGCCAGGCTCTTCCCCTGATGCATCCACAGCAGCCTCCCAAGACGGAACAGGGGCCGGATCCGGGGCAGTTCGCTCCGGCCGTGGGTCTGGGGGCCCAGCCCGGCGGGAATGTCGCGGCACAGACCACCGGCAGCTCCTGCTCCCAGTACAAGGCCCAGAGCAACGGCGACTACGGAAAGGGCGGCTTCTTCCCCACCGATCCTTCCCTGGATGTCTCCATGGGGAGCAACTCCTGCCCCAGCAACAGTGACCACTCCAAAGAGCAGGGATTCGAGCAGATGGATGAGCTGCAGCTGGAGGATCTGGGAGAGGCCGAGCTGCATTTTGAGGATGCTGGAGAAGAGCTGGGCCCGTCCGAGGAGGTGATTGAGCTGAGCGACGACAGCGAGGAGGAACTGGCCTTCGAGAGCGACGGCCGGGACAGCAAGGCCATGCCCTGCCAGGTGTGCAAGAAGGTGCTGGAGCCCAACATCCAGCTGATCCGCCAGCACGCCAGGGACCACGTGGACCTGCTCACCGGGAACTGCAAGGTGTGTGAGACCCACTTCCAGGACCGCAACTCCAGGGTCACTCACGTCCTGTCCCACATCGGCATCTTCCTCTTCTCCTGCGACATGTGCGAGACCAAGTTCTTCACCCAGTGGCAGCTGACGCTGCACCGGCGGGACGGGGTCTTCGACAACAACATCGTCGTCCACCCCAGCGACCCCCTGCCCGGGAAGGTGGCCGTGTTTGGGGGCGGGGGGAGCCCCGAGCTGGCCTGCGCTGCCTGCGGGAAACCCTTGGCCAAAGATTTCCACACCGTCCGGAACCACCTCCTGGAGCACGTGAACCTGAAGAGCCAGACGTGCGGCGTGTGCGACCAGAGGCACCTGAGCCTCTGCAGCCTGATGTGGCACGCCCTGTCCCACCTGGGCATCTCCGTCTTCTCCTGCTCCGTGTGCGCCAACAGCTTCGTGGACCGGCAGCTGCTGGAGAAGCACCTGGCCGTGCACCAGCACGTGGAGGAGGCTCTTTTCCAGTGCCACTTCTGCAGCCAGAGCTTCAAGCTGGAGGCGGCCTATCGGTACCACGTCAGCCAGCACAAGTGCGGCGGGAGCCTGGACATGCGGGCGGGGTTCGGGGAGCGGCTCCAGCCGCAGGGGCTGCCCAAGAGGAAGCTGCCCGAGGAGTTCCTGAGCGAGGAGCTGGCGCTGCAGAGCCAGCCGGGGAACAGCAAGTACAGCTGCAAGGTGTGCGGGAAGAGGTTCGCCCACACCAGCGAGTTCAACTACCACCGGCGCATCCACACCGGCGAGAAGCCCTACCAGTGCAAGGTGTGCCACAAGTTCTTCCGCGGGCGCTCCACCATCAAGTGCCACCTGCGGACGCACTCGGGGGCCCTCATGTACCGCTGCACCGTGTGCGGGCACTACAGCTCCACGCTCAACCTCATGAGCAAGCACATAGGGGTGCACAAGGGCAGCCTGCCCCCGGACTTCACCATCGAACAGACTTTCATGTACATCATCCATTCCAAAGAGGCCGAGAAGAACACGGACAGCTGATGGGGGCGAGGCAGGAGGAGCGAGCGTTTTCGTTGCGGAAGCTGTGGAAAAAAAAAAAAAAGAGGTGTCTTTTCTTTTTTTTAATGGTCAGGCATCATGGATGGAATTCTCCTTTTTGGTTTTTTTTGTTTGTTTGTTTGTTTGTTTGTTTTAATTTTTATTTTTTGTGCCTATTTAGGGCTTTTTTTTTTAGATTGGTGGCGTTGTACAAATTAACAGCACGTGAGGTACATCACTGTTTCAAGGAGTCTGTCGTGTTTACTTACCTCTGGTCCTGTTAGAGGCCGTCGAGTTCTGTGTTTTTAGTATTCCTCACTAGTTTTTGAGTCTAGAGTCTATTTTTTTGAGCCTTCTAGCCCACTCAACCAGGCTAACCCTGAGCTTGTCCACAAACTGATGCTGCTAAGATTTTCACACCTGACCTCAGTGGAGAGGGACAGAGCCAGAGCAGGTGCTGGACTCGAAGGAAAGGAACAAAAAGGAAAGAAAAAAGGAGAAAGAAAAAAAAAAAAAGACGTTCTGGGCATCCCTGGGGTTCTGCTGCTACTGCCAGAAGATGGGCCAAGTGTGCCCTGGGATTGGCCATCGCTGGGTCACCAGGGAGAGGAGCAGGAAGCGTGTGAGTGTGCAGATGAGGAGGGGGATTCCCACATTCCCAGGCCGTGGTTTCTGGCTGTGACACACTCGCTCGTGCCCTGAGGAGGAGATGGAGCGACACAACCTCCCTGCAGAGCCCGAGCAGAGGCGGCTGCAGCAGGCACAGGGATCTCCCGGAGGAGCCTCTGGGGTGGAGAGGGAGGGGAAGCAGGTCCGTGTTCCTGGGAGGTGATTGGTGGTGGCCATGGAGAGCTGCTGGAATCCCCCGGCCCGGGGCTGCCGGACACCCGGCGGATGGGACGCGATGAAGCCGTTGCCTTAACTCCCTGGAAGGTACCTTCGAGGG